TCTAGACCCGAAACGTCAGCTCTCCTGCTCCTCTGATGCTGCTTGGCCTGCTGCGTTCAGCCAGCTCTACACCTTGTTATGGGATAAATGATCTTCTTCAGAACTGTGAGCATTTGTAATTCTCAACCAGCAATGATGTAAAGTTGTAAATGTTGCAGCAAGCACTCTGCCAATTCACAGAATCACTACAGCGCAGAGAGAGGCCATTTGGCCCATCGCATCTGCACAAACCCTCCAAAGAGCATCCACCCAGAACCAAACCCCACCCATCCCCATCCCCATATTTCCCATGGCTAATCCACCCAGCCTGCACATTCCAAGACACTTTACCATAGCCAATCCAGCTAGCCTGCAGACTATGGGGCAATTTAGCATCACAAAGCCACCTAGTCTGCACATCTTTGGACTGTGAGAGGAAACCCACACAGGCACAGAGAGAAAATGCAAACTCCACACAGTCACCTGAGGGTGGAATTAACCTGGGTCTCTAGAGCTGTGAGGCAGCAGTGCTAACCACTGAGCCATTGCATAGGTCATCTTTGCTGCTACTTTTCATTTAAAGCACTAACTGCAGGAATTTAAAAATCTGTTTCATCTGAAAAGTAATTTCAGTCACTTCTGTGGAGTAGAAAACCACAATATTTCCTTAAATTCTCCCTTTTCAGCCGAGGCCTACACATTACAAATACAGTTTCTTACATTCTCAAAATGAAAAAGAAAACAAGAGCTGCACGTGCTCAATGGATGATTTAACTTGTATATATAAAGTCAAGTTAACTCTTTTGGGCAAATACAGTTATCAACACACAGAACATCCTATGTTGTGTATTGCCAGCATTTCTTGTTTTCATTTCCAATGTTAGCACATTTTCTTCTGTCATTTACAAAATATTTACTGTCCTAGAACTTGAATAAAACGTGTACCTGGCGCACTCCAGGAATGACAAACCACAAGGTAGTCATCCACACAAATTACAAACAAAATCATAAATTGCTGGAAAAACTGTTCTGAAAAAGTGTTGCTGGTCCAGAAACATTTTCTCCAAAGACGCTGCCAGACCTGCTGAGTTTCTCCAGGAATTTTTTATTTTGTTTCCGATTTCCAGCATCTGCAGTTCTTTAATATTTTTTGTTTACACAAATGACAAAGACCATATGTTTCCAAGGCAGCATATCAACACTGCAAAGATAATCCCATAATGAAACCAGCTGCCAAAGAAAATAGTCACAACACCCATCACAAGAATCAAATTCAGATTATTTTCATGCATAATCTTTCATTCTCAGGATTTTTTTCACTCAGAGGGTATGAGGATCTGGAATGCACTGCCTGGGAGGGTAGTTGAGGTGCGAAACTTCACAACTTTTAAAAAGTACTTGGATGAGCACTTGAAATGTCACAACATTCAAGGCTATGGGCTTAGTTCGGGAAGTATAACTAGTGTAGGTAGTAGTATGTTTTTGGTGGTAAAGATTTGATGGGCCAAAAGGCCTTCACTGTACTCTACAATTCTCTGATTTTATGACTGTGTGCATTTCTGGTCACCACACTATAGGAAGGATGTCACCTCACTAGAGAGATTCACCAGGATGTTGCCTAGGATGGAACACTTCAGTGATGAAGAGATACTGGATAAACTCAGGTTGTTTTCTTTGGAGCAGAGAAGGCTGGGGTGGGGAAGACAATGTTAGAAGGGACATATATACAGTCAATAGGAGTCAACTGTTCCGTTTGATAGAGGGGTCAATTACTGGGGGACATAGATTTAAGGTAATGGGAAGGATGTTCCAAGGAGAGTTAAGGGGAATCTATTTTTTTCACCCAGAGTCTATTACAATATATAAGAACAACTAAAATAAACACTTGAAATGCCCAGCATACAAGGCTATGGGGCAAGAACTGGGAATGGGATTACCGTAGACAGGTGCTTGATGGATGGCACTGACACGGTGAAGGACTTGTTTCCATGCTGTTATATTCATGACTACTATTTCAACAGGGAATGCCAAGTCTGGCCAGCACCACCCTCGGAATATAGTCATTAGTCTATGATGTGGGCACAACTAAAGTGGGAGGTTTACACACACCCTCCAAGTCCCATATTTCTGCAGAGCCTAACACAAACACACCAGTACACACTTTTCCAGTTTAGGAGCAATTTACTGCAAATGCTGCAATCTGTACTGAAAACAACAAATGCTGGAGGTCACATTGGGTCAGGCAGCATGTTTTTTCTCCGTGAATGCTGCCTGACCTGCTGTGATTTCCAGCATTTGTTGCTTTCACTTTTCCTGTTGCCAAGTGACAGTGAAGAGAGGGACAAAAGCAGACCACAGTAAACTGTGTCTGTACGGTTTGAGAGCTCACCTCCTTCCTTAGAGATGCAGTAGTACTTGTGACCGCACGCATTGTAGGAAGCTGGGCCCACGCTGGGTCCTGTGCTGCCCAGAGCCGTGGCGAAGATGGTCTCCCTTGGAGCTCGGTCATACATTTTTCCAGGGCCTGGGGGATCCGGGGGGTGAGGATGGGATCTCCCAGAGAGAGAGACACTATAGATCCCCTCAGATCAACACGGGTCGATCTTCCTATAAGCCGCTGCTGGGAGAGAGAACAATAACCAGTCTTAAAACTTGCTTCATTCAAAAAGTGATCGGCGGCATCCGACAGACAGATCAGACCAGAAGGTATTTTTCTGCACGATATTTTCCTTCTGCCTTGCTCCCGGGGTTTACCAGTTGGTGAGAAGTTGTAGGAATAAAGTTCTTTTCAACGGACTGTTTTCATCTTCACTTACCTTGACTTTGTGTATGTCAATGCGTGTATTTCAATTAATCTCTCGTTGTACCTAAGTATCACTGTGCCTATGTGTACACTAAATGTGTCTGTTTCTGTGTAGCTAAATGTGTCTTAATATGGAGTTAATTTCACTGCATCTCGAAGTGCGTGTGACTCTGTGTATCTAGTGTGTGTTCCAGTCTCTTTTTCCTAACTCTGTGACGAAGTGTGTGTTCAGTGTGTCTCTTTGTAACTACATCACAGTGTATCTAAGTGTTTCTCCATCTGTGTTTCTCTGTAACTGTGAGCGTCTATCTGAAAGTCTATCACTGTGTACCTCCGTGTGTCACTCTGAGTGTATTTCTGTGTGTGTCCCTGTGTGTGTCTGTGTATCTCTTAGCTGTTGTTACCAACCTACCCCCTCGTCTGTTTCTCATAATGAGATTGTGTATCCATTTCACTGTGTAGCTGCTGCCATGGAAACCGCCGCGTTTCCACGTGGTTTCCCCTCGCCCTCTCCCAGCTCTCTGCGACTAAACTGCTTGCTGCAGAGTCCACCCTGTAGTCTTCTGGGCTGTCAATGAAATCCCTTCTGACATTAGTAAACCGCCCGCTCTTTTAAAGGTTAAAGCCCAGGTTATTATCAGAGTCACGAAGAGAAATTTAAAATGTTACATTCCCCCACCACATTCCTCTATCAAATGCCGTCCAGCCCTTGAATTGAGCTTGTCTGTTGATCCACTCTATCCCTCGTTTAAAAAAAGTTTAAAGATTCCACAGAAACACTGGAATGAGAATCCACAGGAAGAATCATAGGAACATAATATTTAGGAGCGGGAGTAAGCCCTAAAGCTCTTCGAGACTACTCCCCATTCAGATTGTCCTCTGATCTACACTTTCCTGCCTGCTCCCCCTACTCCCACCACCCAGAACTCCCTTGTCTATCAAAAATCTAACTCAGCTTGAATAACTTTAAAACTCAACCTCCACTACCTGGCGGGAAAGAAAATGCCATGCTCAAAAGACTCTCAGAGAAAACAAATCTCCTCACGCCCATGTTTGTGGAGTTGTGCCCTCTGCTTTCAGCGTCCTGTTAATTTAATGAATGCAATTACTTTTTATTCTTTCACAGGGTGTGCTCATCCCTAATTGCCCCTTGAGAAGGTGGTGGTGAACTGTCTTATTGAACTGCTGCACACAGCGTGGTGCAGGTTTTCCCACAGTGGCATTGGGATGGGAGTTCCAGGATATTGACCCAGCCACAGTGGAGAAACAACCATAAAGATCAATGTTTCCTTATTGTCATTAGGTCAGAATCCTGGAATTTTGTTCCCAAAAACACTATTGGGTGCACTGATGCCACATGGATTTGGACCCAATCAATTACTTTCTGAAAAATATTTACTGTTGTCACAGAGGAAGCCTGGCAACCGTGTGTGCGCAGCATAATCCAACAAACAGCAATGAAACAAATGAACAGGTTGTCTGTCCTCATTGGCAGGGAAGGAATGAGTGCTGGGGGGTACCTTTAAATTGCCCCGAAGGGTGGCAAAGCGTGAGTTTAATTGCCCCATTGGGAAGATGGTATCTAAGCACAGTTGCAGCACTCCTTCCGATCTACAGTGAAGCATCAGCCTGGATCTTATAGAGTCATACAGTGAAGAAACAGACCCTTCGGCCTACTTCGTCCATGCTGAGCAAGTATCCTAACTGCTTTAGTCCCATTTGCCCTGTGTTTGCCCCATATCTCTTTAAATCTTTCCTATCTACGTACCTGTCCAAACGTCATTTAAATGTTGTAATTGTACCAGCCTATACTACTTCCTCTGGCAGCTCATTCCATACACGCACCACTTTCTGTGTGAAAAAATTGTTCCTTGGGTCCATTTTAAATCTTTCTCCTCTTACCTTAAACCTATGCCCTCTAGTTTTGGACTCCCCTACCCTTGGAAAAAGAGCTTGGCTATTCACCCTATCCATGCCCCTCATGATTTTATAAATCTTTATAAGGTCACTCCTCAGCCTCTGAAACTCCAGGAAAAGAGTCCCAGCCCTATCCAACCTCTCCCTATAGCTCAAATCCTCCGATCCCGGAAACATCCTTGTAAATTTTTTCTGTACCCTTTCTAGTTTCACAACATCCTTCCTATAGCAGAAATGTACACAGTACTCCAAAAGCGGCCTCACCAATGTCTTGTACAGCTACAACATGACATCACAACTCCCATAATCAATACTCTGGCCAATGAAGGCACTTAAATATTTGGCATTAGATGCAAGTTTCTGTATCAGAGTCAACAGGTAACCAGAGGCAATCTGGCACCTTCTATAGTCCCATTCCCACTCTAATCTATGACATTTTTAACTATCTTTTATTTCAGCTTCATTAAAAAATTAGATGCTCCTAAATTTATTACCTGTTACACTGTTTCAAGGCAAAGATATTTAGATGTTAAGCACTGTATCTAGAAATCTTGCTGTCTGGAGTCACTTACAAAGGGAAATTTAAATGATTATTTTTCTTGTCGCCTGAGCAATTCCGGTTGCTTTGTGATGTCATTGAATCATTGAATTACATGGAATGTACAGCACAGAAAGGCCATTCAGCCCAACTGCTTTATGCTCCATAGGAGCTTCCTCCCATCAATTCTCTTCTCACTCACTCAGTATATCTTTCTACACTTCTCCTTTTGAGACACATATATAACTTCTCTTTAGATGTGTCAGCATTATTCATCTCATGTGGAAGCTGAGTGGATAACATTTCTTTATTGAGGAAACTTTCTCTGAATTCATGATTTGATTTACCTTGAAGGTTGTAAAGGTGTCCAAGGTTTGGGAAATGTTTAATAGATCAATATCCATAAGTTGAATTGGGCAGCAAAAGATGTTCAGAGATTTTATTGTATACCTACAATTTAGTACAAACAGCAGTTTCCATCTTTCCCTATTGGACCTTTTCGCTGTCCAGAAGCCAATCGCCACTAGCAAATAAACCAGCTCATTTTTTTTGTTCAGGCAGGCTTGGACATATTACGACATACATCCATGATATGTGGAACTTGAACCCAGATCTTTAGACCCAGAGGTAGGGACACTACCACTACCACAAGAGCCCTTGAGAAACCAGCACTTAAGTACAAAGTCCATTGAACATCACCTCTCCCAACCAACTTGGGAGCTGTTCTAATGATCCTTAAAGGGATCTGCATTTCTAACACTGACGTGAAAATCACATTAAATCCAAAATCTGAAAAACTGTAAGTGTTGGGAACTGGAGAAACAGCAACAGTGAAGGGGGCAACAGATAATATTTAGAGTCCAGCATGACTCTTCTTCATAACCGAAGAAAACTGGGAATAAGGAGTCAAGAATGGAGGAAGGAGCAAGTGGAACACATCAAAAGGTCGGGGCAAGGTTAAAGGGTGACCAAGATTTGAGATCGAAAATGTTACAGGACAAAAGGCAGAGGGAGTGGTAATAGATTTAGATAACAGATAAAGCATTGATCTAGATTAAGTGTTAATAGCAGAATAAAGGTCAGCTCAAAGCAAAATAGAGATATAAAGTCATACAGCACGGAAACAGACCCTTCGGCCCAACTTGTTCGTGCCTACCAGGTTTCCTAAACTGAACTATTTGCCTACATTTGGCCCATATCCCTCTCAACCTTTCCCATCCATGTACCTGTCCAAATGTCTTTTAAACGTTGTAATTGTACTCATCTTCACCAATTCCTCAGGCAGCTTGTTCCATATATGCACCACCCTCTGCATGAAAAAATTGCCCCTCGGGTCGATTTTAAATCATTCCCCTGTCACCTTAAACCTACGCCCTCTAGTTTTGGACGCCCCTACCCTGAGGGAAAAGACCTTGGCTAACCACATTACCTATGCCTCTTATGATTTTATAAACCTCTATAAGGTCATCCCCTCAGCCTCCTATGCTCCAGGAAAAAAATGTCCCAGCTTTTCCTTATAACTCAAACCCTCCAGTCTCAGTAACATCCTTGTAAATGTTTTTGCACCCTTTCCAGTTTAATAATGTCTTTCCTACCAAAACAGTATAATATGATCCAGGGTGAGTGAACTGTATCAAAATGGAGGACAGAGTTGATGCTCCAAAGTTGTAGAATTCAATATTGAATCCTGGAGGCTGTAAAGTGCCAAAACAGAAAATGAGTTGGCTGTTTGTCCACTGAAACACTCCAGCTGGCCTAGAACAGAAATGCGAGTGTGAGAACAGAATGGCATATTGTGGTGGCGAGAGGAAGGTCAGGATCATACTTGCAGACTATGCAGAGGTGTTCAGCAAACTGATCAACCAATCTGTGTGTGCTCACCCCAGTGTAGAGGACCAAAAACAATATCTAAATATGAAGGAGGCCCTTTGGGCCTGAAACAGATCATTTGGTAAATTAGCACACTCACTGGGAGGTTGATTTTAATGACAACTTTGGTAACTTTTGAGATGAAATTAGTTGGGACTTAGGCAGTGTGGCCAAAGTTGAAAGGGAGAAAAGGGAAAAAATTGTTTACATTGCCAGACTGGTCAAAAACAAAACAGGACATTAATTTCATGTAAATTTTCATAAAATCCCTACAGTGTGGAAACAGGCCATTCAGCCCAACCAGTCCACACTACCCCTCCGAAGAGCATCCCACCCCAACTCATTCCTCTACCCCTGCATTTCCCCATGTCTAACCCACCTAACCT